CGTGTTCTTCTGTTGGTGGTATCGTTCAGTACTGGCGCGCTCTCCACTTCCTCCTTCTCAACGATCGTCTTCAAAGCCACTCTATTTGCCTTGCCGATAGGCTCGGCAGAGGCCGATCGATTGATGCTCGCCCCTGATGTTGACCGTAAGAGACTAGCAGTAGATCTCGATCGCGTCATCTTCGTTTGCTTTTTCTCCTGACTCTCATCAACCTCGGCAGAGGAAGGGTTGGCTGTTTCCTGCTCATCTCTATCCTCTACAATCTCTTCTGGGAAAACCTGCTTACTGAAGTCCACACTTTCTGCACTCGTAGATGAATCATTGCTGGATAGTTCTCCCACGTTAGTAGTCTCATTTTGCTGAACAACGTGTCCGAAGTCTTCAATCGGAACGGCAGGCGAATCATTACTACGGCGCAGCTCGGAGATTAACTCCTCGTGATTGCGTGTGCGTGCTAGCGTTTCCTTGACGGGCCATTGTCGCACAATTGGAGTCTCGTCGTGTTTAGTGTCACACGAAATCGCATGGGACTTGACTGGATCGCCAACAGTTTTCGTCAAACCATCCTTGCCGTCGGTCACAAACACGGCAAGTTGTTCACGACCGGCCTTGACTTTGCGGCACGTTTCACTGTGCGCTTCGGACGTCAAGTCGGAGAGTGTTGTTCCTATGTGGCTGATATATCTATTCTGCTCACTCAGAATGTTGCTGCGTTCCTGTGTGTCACGCTCGCGCTTCTGGTCTGCCTCCTTCACGAAATTTGTTCGCTGTTGAGCCATGCCATCTAAGCTTTCGACAGCGATGATTTGCGCTGCATCCGTCTCCTTTGTCAGAGTATGCAGCAACGACTGCACGTTTGAGGCCGAGTTCGAGGCCGTAGTGCATGTAGTTGCGAGTGAGGCACTCTTGTCCTGCACGGTCGACTTGAGTTCGTCAGCACCCTCGCTGCACTTTGAGAAAAACCCGTCACATTTCGTTTTCGTTGTTTCTGATGCTCTAACAATTGCTTCTTTGAGCTCGTTAGATACGAGTTCGGCGTCCTCAATTTTTGAGGCCACCATAGCCGAAGCCATTCTTCGACTCTCCGCGCTTTCCCGCTCAAATTCGTTCATGACTGCAGTCACCTGAGCAACTAAGTTAGATCGTGTCCTCTTGACAAATTCCGCTTGCTTTTCCGCCTGCTCTTCACCAACAATTTTCAGAGCCCCAAAGAGTTCAGCTTGCCGCTTTACTTGCCATGAGACATTGGAGTTCAGGTCTGCAATCGTTTCCAAAATATCCGTAGATAGAAGTTCTCTATGCGATTCCTCCATCGCCGAATGGGACCCGATGGCAGATTGCACCTCTCCCATGATTTCGCGGGTGTTGTCCAGCATTGATTTGATAGTAGCACTGGAGTCGGAAACATTCCGGGAGGTCTCTGCCACTCTTGCCTTGTGTTGACTGAGCGCCTTTCGCAAGGAATCAAATACCTCTTCATCCTTACTGTGAAACTTTGTAGAAAGCTCTCGGTCGGCATCTTCATGCACCTTCTCGATTTTGGAAAAGCGAGTAGAAAATTCTTCCAGTTGCAAGTTCATGGACCCAAGCGAGTTGTTCAATTTTTCCAGTAGAACCTTTGAATCTGTCTCTGAGTCCTGAAGGAGAGAGACATGCGTTTCTTCGTGAGCCTGCAGAGAATCAGATATTTCAGCAACTCCTCTCGCGACGGTGTTCTGCAAAGTAAGAAGATTCTCGAAATTCTCTTTCTCGAGCTCCTGCTTCGCATTTACCCTCGTGTGAAGGGCCCGGATGTCTCCCACACATAAATCAAGTGTACCTTGCAATTCAATGCCTTTCTGATGGAGCTCAACTTCGGTTCCAACATGCTTTCGCACAAGGTGGGCATTCTCCGCCTTTTGTTGACGGACGACTTCGAGCGTGTTTTGGGTAGATGATAGTTCTCCCTTCACCGCTTCTAATTCCTGCTTCGTCAGTGACAGCTGCTTCTGATCTCTTGCGAGAGCATCTTGCGTCCGGTCAAGCTTTTCCTTCAAATTAGCTGCCTTCTTCTCAAAGTCTTCATTTCGTGTCTCAAGTTGGGAAATGGTGTCTTTCTGTTGATTAGCAATTGCTTGCAAACGCTGAAATTCGTCGGCTGGGAGATATACACCATTCTTCGTGCGGTTGGCATCAAGCTCTCTCTTGAGCTTCTGAATTTCTTCAGTGTACTCTTTCAGGAGAACATGCTTTGCGATCATCTGGTTAACTGTTGGCCTATTCTTAATACTCTTGGCTCGGTATGCGTAGTCTAGTGTGGAGGCAGTTTCCTCGGCACTACTGGAACCAGGGGTTACGGTTGCAATAACACAGGTCTTGTTTCGCCCTCCTAGCGATTCTTGCAGAAGCCTGGTAAGCTTTGAGTCTCTGTATGGAACATGTGGGTGCCGGTCAACAAGAGCGGTGATAACACGGCCTAGAGTCAAAAGACTTTGATTGATGTTTCCCGCTTCCCTCGCACGTCCTTTGACAGCGCCACTCCTGCCAACGTTTTCAGAACCTGCTAGATCAACAAGATTGAGCTTACCAACCTTGAGGAGATCGGCTCCTTCTGGAGTGGACTCTTTGATGTGAATAGTAATGGAGAATACTGAATGGGATCGAGATGAATACTTGTTCATCAGGGTCTCCGCAGTCCGACGCTTTACAGCCGACTTGTCCAAGACAGCAAAAATTTCCTCTTCGCTTCGTACGACGATGTCCTCGAGACCTTGAACAAAAGTTCCCTTCTGCGGGTCCTCATACATACGGAGAGTATCATTGACGACATCCGCAGGACCAAGAAGGTCTGAGAGCTGCTCGTTGTAGAGTTCGAGGTGACTGACACGAACCGAATGCTCATCCGTGATGCTTCGTAAATGGTCAAACACTTGTTTGACAGCGCGCGGAATAATGCCAGCATTTTCAGCAAGTCTGCGCTCCTCAAATCCAACCATATCAGCCCCTCTCCTACCTTCCATGGTATGCGTCTTCCCGGTGCCCGTCTGGCCATATGCAAAGACTGTGCAATTGTAGCCCTGCAACACCTCATCGACGATAGGCTCGACAATACCCTCATACACATCTGCTTGGGAGGCGTCGGGACCAAAGACATGGTCGTATGTATACATCTTCTTTGGATTGGCTGCTGCGGAGCCGCCTTTCCGGACGGCATTTGGCGCAGAGCAAATTACTTCTCGTCGCTCCTCAGCGCAAGTGAGGACGGTCCGTTCGCCGGAGCTGCGCTCGCGGGAGTTTAGGGGACGACATCGCACGGCGACTTGTACGTTGACGGAGCGCGGCGGGGATACCCCACGTTGACCATGGCGAACGTAGCCGCCAGGTGAGAGTGTTGATGCCATGTCGCTCAAGCGTGTGTGAAAAGGAAAGGGTGGCGGTAGGGCGGAGGGGGAAGTGTGAAGATGTCTGATTGAGAGTCAGAAGTATTTGCGGAATGAAACCCGATAAAGAAAATGTTGCAAGGCTCAGGATCAGAACGACCAGTATTGAGCCTTGGAAAAAGCAAAGGGTAGGCAATTCATGTGAATTTGTGAAGAGACTGGTTGATACACTGAGAAGAGTCGCAGCAGCTTCGGAGAGAAGATGGCCGTTTCGTTTCAGCTCCAGTAGTCTGCCTCGGTTTCTGGGACTATTCTCGTAGTACCCTTCGACGCTATGTTCGAAATGCGCTCAGCTGTCACATCATTTTGGCGCGACTTTTCAAATATTTGAAGCGAGCTTTTTTGGCGGGTTCAACTGCAATTTTTCGATAACTTTTATGAAATATCCCCTTGGTAGTAGGAGGTGCGCATTGTACATGCCCGTTGTGATCAAACCGCGCCACCCCGCTTCGCCTTGATGCGTCGGCCGCTCTATACTTGTCCACATGAACGGACACAAAACTGCTCCGCACTTCTCCAAAGACACTCCCGCTTGTTTCGGCTGAAGAGCCGCGTACAGGATCGCTAAAATTGTTACGTTTCATTCGGCAGGTAGGGTCGCACTGGCACGAAAGGGCCATCTGCTTGCTGTTGCCCTCGTTCAGCAACGATTTCGATGGGCTCTGATATCTTGTTCGAAGATGCTTGCGCACGGCCACTCTAGTTAAAGATATACTAAGGTCTAGAGTACGTATGAGAGCTAGGCAACGTGCACGACGTAGTTTTTGGTACTGTCGTTACAATGCACGGGACGCACATTATGATGCCGGCTCTTGAGATCAAGAGTTCCATCCTCCTCCACAGTCATGAACCGCGCGAATGTGTAAGGTGCTTTACTGCTCTGCTGCACAGTATAACTAAAGAGATGGAGGAACTTCCTTCGAGGAACCCCACCCAGTGTAGTACATGTCTGGTACACCGGGTGCACTAGACAGCAGATATATCTTCCGCATCGGACATAAACCCTACGAGTTGGCCCCTCGAGCTTCAACCCTTTTGTGTCTTTTAAGGATAGTGGGTGCAACGGGACAGGCGACATCCGGCAGTTGCAAAAGCATAATGGTAACAGTCAAGCCTAATGACTGTCGCTACCTTTTCTATGTCATACATATCAACTCAAGAGTGACATTTAGAAGAGTTGCTCGTGACCACAAGAACGGTGTACAGTGTCTCTTGTATCGCCTTTGTGCTCTAGGAAAGGCAGGCCAGCCGCATCGGGAAATGGGTCTATTTCCACCGAGCGATAGCATAGTGCGATGGTGTCAACAATAACAAGCAATGCCCTCGCACCCAGCGAAAGCGCTTCCACTGGGGGCATCTCCCTAGAGCCTTTGCATAGGTCGTTTCAGAAACGGCCGCAATGCTGCGTAATTAATAGTATTCGACTATAGAGGCGTACAGAACTAAGCTGGTTGTTAAGATATTGCCAGATGAGTTTTGAATTTACTAGAGATCGAATTTGATTTGTGGTTTTCTTGGTGGCCCTTGTGCAGTGAAGGATACTGGACAACATATGCACAAGACATTTTTTGGGTAATGTTCACCGACAGCCTACTCTTGTACTTAAGTTCCTTAATAACCTTCATAGCTAAGGGCGACCGCGTCTTTCCTGTTCAGGACAGACAAATATATGGGTGTTCTTGGGTGTGAATATGAAATGAAATACGAGTGACGCATGTTGCTGAAAGCCACCGATAAACGCCTATAGCCACTTTATGAAAAATAGTCAGCGAACTAGTTTAGTTTATCGATGTGTTAAAGCGTTTTACCTTATGAGTCTGCTTCTCCATTTTTGGCACTCGCCGCTAAAGCGCTGCGCGCTACTGTGAAAGGCAGAGGACTTGTGCGATAGCGCCGCACTCTTGTTACTGAGAGAGGTATTCATTTTAGCATCCAAATGAAAGCGTTCTCGTGTATGCAAATTAAAGACCCAGCCGCACGCAAAGTATGAGGCACTCTCATCGTGATGCAACTGGGCTGTGGGTCGCAGTTGCTCTTCTTGAAGGCATCAGGATGGATTTCGACCATGGAGTTACATACTGTGGTTCTCTTCCGTTGCGAGTTATATATTTACGTCGGTCATCTACATTCTCTACGCTAGCTGGCGATGAGAGTAGCGATTTCCGTTGCGACCTGTTGGAGCCTCGCAGAAAGTGGGGCAGCTTCAGCTGCTGCTGCTGCTGCCCCAAGCTCAACGCCCTTCAACGCCGATTGTTCATCACTGCACAACAGTGTTCCCATGGCAATCATTAACCTATACAGAACTTCTTCATCCTTTTCGCCAGCCGTGATCAGATTGGCAGTTGTTCGTATCACTAAAGCCTTATCGCCTGGGCTCGCTTTCCCTTCATGTAAGCTCACCGCGTAGTTAATCATCAGCGATCCAACTGTTTCTCGAGCACGTCGATTGCTGCTCTTCGCAGCAGACGCCACCGCGTTTATGATTGTCTCCTGCTCGGACAGAACTTTCGTTCCTGACACTCGGTTTCCGAACATGTTACACAAAAATCTGCACCCCATGATGTAGACAGGAGCGGAGGCTTCATCAGCGGAGAGATGCCTCAAGATATCGGCGAGCACTTCGCCATTTCTGGAACCAAAAAAGTACGCGCACCCAGTGGGCAAAGATATAACCAATCGGGCCACGTCAAGCACTGGGAACGCATGGCTTGTCGGCCATTTAAGCAGCTTTTCGACGATGGCGCAGTCCTCATTATCCAGTATCGAAACTGCACCCCCTCTGGTCTTCAACTTCGGCATTAGGGAAGCACCAAAAACAGTTGCTTCTTCCTGGCTCAACGCCAAGTCTGAGCCATTCTTTGCAAATTCAGTATTGACGTCGCTCACCTTGGCCTGAATTCTTTCGATTTGGTCCGTGCTCTTGTAAAGAACGATCCCATTCGAGTGAGGGATGAGTTTTCGTGGTGGTGGCAGTTTCCCTGGTGGAACACCAGAGCCCCCTGGAACATATCGGGATCCCCCTGTTAACGGGTCTCCCCGATTTGAGCTGGCCGTGGCACCGCCTCCTGGAACATATCGAGACCCCCCAGTGAGAGGATCCCCTCGACTTGTAGATGCGCCTGCTGAGCCACCTGGCACGTACCTAGACCCACCCGTTAATGGATCCGATGCCTGCACGGCTGTTGATCGAAGGGCGTCTGCGGGAACCTGCTGTTCAATGAACTGAGCGATTTGATCGATAAACTCCTGACTGAGTTCGTTCTCATCGATAAACCGCTGCGCTGCAGCGTACGGGTTTTCGCCGCGATTGAACCCGAGCTTTTCTTTTTTCCCGCCTTCGCCGACTTCGACTTCAAATGTAAAATCATAGGACTTTCCGTTCACAGTGCCCGAACTTGCAGGACCAGCGGGGTTATCAACAACTTGTCCAACTTTTGTCCATTTGCTTTCAGCGGCAGACCACATGTACACGTCTGCAGTACCTGCTGCAGTCTTTACTATCTTATTCTCGCCGTCCTTCTTACCTGGCGTTGAAAGGGCTTTCTCTACCTCTGGGAGTTTGCTAACATCCACGCCACCAATCACCCTGGTGTTCACCTGTCTTTCTGAGATGGCCTTTTCAAAAGTGGAGAGCACATCCGCATCGGCAACTGCATCGGGATCTCGAGTGAATACTCTCGCAACGCCATCACTACATGCCGTGACTAAGTCGCCTCCTGGACACAGGCAAGCACTCCAAACAGTCCCTGGATGCATCAGCGTTTGTATACATGCGGGCGGTGTCATGGCTGTAAGATCTGCTTCAACGACCCTGACGGCATTGTCTTCGCCGCCCGTCACAAATGTCCACTTGCCCGCATCTTCCTCGCGGGCGTCGATCGAATAAATGTAGCTGCCATCATGCAGATCGGATATTCGATGACCGACTGAATACACTGCACCGTCGCTGCTCCAATACACCATTGCCGAGTCGTTTGCTACGGTGACAAAGCCACCATTCGGACCAGCAACTACGCCTCGCACCACATCAGTATGAGACGCCGGAAGCTGCATCCCCTGCGATCCGTCACGATTCCACAGACGCACCGTTTTGTCCGCAGCGACAGTGACCAGGCGTCCATCCGGCAAGCCGGCAACGCCCCAAACCGCTGCTTCGTGTCCCTTCAAAACGGTGAGACATGTACCCGATATCAAATCCCAAACCCTCGCCGTCTTATCCCAGGACGCTGAGATAACCTTCTTTTCAGACTGCGGTCCAGGAAGGACGGCGACTGCGCAGACCGGACCCTCGTGACCTCTCAGCACGGTGGTACATTCGCCGCTCTTGACATCCCAAACGCGCAGCGTGTTGTCGCTGGATGCAGTGATGAGCCTCTCGGCATCTGCAAAGGCGACCGCATTGACAAAATGATCGTGCCCACGCAGAAGCTTGACTGGCTCTAGACCATCCTTGTCCCAGAGCGCCACTGTCTTGTCGCGGCTTGCGGTTGCAATTTGGCCAGTGGGTGATGATGCAACGCCTCGCACATCAGTGGTGTGTGCACGGAGTTCAGCCCGGAGCTTGAACATTGTGAATGTTGGACAAGATCGCGTAATGCCTCGCAATGCCGCAGGCATTAATCGTTGCTTGCTAGTCCTAGGGGCTTCCGGGGCTCGACTGGTGGCAACGTCATGCTGGAATGTGCTCTGTCAGAATTCAATCACCAAAAAGTTCAAAATTTTTGTTTAAAAAGAAAGGTCTGCCAATGATGCTGGTGGTGTGCTGTACTGTACCAAAGGTAACAAAAACTCCTACAGCCAGTAACCCGTCTGGCACTTTGGTACAGTGCTGGCCAAAATGATAGGGACACAGGCTATTCGCACTGTGGCAGCCCCCTTTTGCTCCAATGATAAAAGAGAAGAGGCTCTGTACACGTATTGGGCGAGCTAAACGTGATGGAAAAGACGGTTTTATAGAATAAAAAAAAGCCTTGGAGCTGTAAGGCAAAAACGTGTTTACGGCATGGCCATAATGATAGGGACAACAGGAACTAACTCGAGTTTTGGCGTAAAACGCAAACTGCGTTCCGCCGAAAGGCGTAAAGGCCATGCTAAGGCTACACTCGAGGGGTCTGCAGACGGTTGTGCAGAAAACAGTCGGTTGGTAGCTCGGAGAAATGGGAAGAGGCAAAGTCCTGAACGAGCACGAAAGGGGGCTTATCCCTGGTCTTTCTCAAGGCGGTAGAACCATTCGAGACATCGCTGCTCGTGTGCAGCGCTCCAAGAACGTAATTTCTAACTTCCTGCGCGCACCGTTGGAATATGGGAGAAAAAAATCGCCAGGAAGACCGCAAAAGCTATCTCCCACCGACAAGAGAAGGTTACTTCGGGCTGCTTCAAATGAAACAAAATGCTCTAACACGCTTCGTCAGGAGCTGGGACTCTCTGTTGCCTCACAGTCAATCCGCCGTACGCTGCACAACGACCCGAACTTCCAATTCAAGAAGATGGTGTCGGCTCCAATGATGCTGCCCCTTCATCTCGTCGCTCGTGAAAATTTTGCGTGCGAGAAGCTGACATGGTGTCCTGCAGATTGGTATAAAGTCATCTGGTCCGACGAAAAAAAGTTCAATCTCGACGGACCAGATGGCTTCGCCTTCTATTGGCACGATCTGAGGAAGGACAAGCGCATATTCTCGAGAAGGCAAGGAGGTGGGAATTCGGTCATGTTTTGGGGGGGTTTTGTGGGACGAAGAAATGCGAATTGGTGTTGCTCGAAGGAAATCAGAACGCAGAGGACTACATACAGACATTAGAAAGTTATTCGCTACCGTTTATTGATCAGGAGCTGGACGCAGGATGGCTATACATGCATGACGGAGCTTCTATTTACAGGGCACATCGGGTCAGGCAGTTTTTTGAGAAGGAAGAGGTGCCGGTTATGGACTGGCCGGCAAAGTCCCCGGACTCAAATCCTATAGAAAATCTCTGGGGTCTGTTGGCACGTGCTGTATACGCTGTTTGTCGTCAATTTGACAACGTCGAAGAGCTTAAAGAGGCCGTTTGGGAAGCCTGGGATAACATCACAACGGACACACTGAAATCCCTTTTGGGGTCCATGCAACGACGCTGCACGGACTGTTATCTTGCCAAGGGAGGTGCGACGAAGTACTGAGGTGAGTATTGCGCATACATGGGGTCCGGATAATGGGGTACAGGTCTTGTCCCTATCATTATGGCCATGCCGTAAACACGTTTTGCCTTATAGTTCCGAGGCTGTTTTTGTTCTATAAAACCGTTTTTTCTATCACGTTTAGCTCTCCCAATACGTGTGCAGAGCCTCGTCTCATTTATCATTGGAGCAAAAGGGGGCTGCCACAGTGCGAATAGCCTGTGTCCCTATCATTTTGGCTAGCACTGTAGCATGCGGGTCTTTCCTAGAGCACCCCTACTGGTTTAGTTATATTTCGAGGTTAAATATGAGAAATTTAGCGTTTGGAGATAACGATTCTAGGCGCAACACTACCGGTTAGAGGCAAATTCAAACGTGTTGGGCAGTGATTGGATCTTTGGGCAGCCGTGACGGTCATCCAGTACGAGGGATCGTAGTGGTGGTGCTGTACGGATACACTGTGGGGGACGTCTCCGGTTCCCATCTCCTCAAGCCCCACATGACACCATCATGCCCTGGAGGAAGGGCGGGGAGGAGAGGAGGAGGAAAGGAAGAAGGGAAGGCATCAGGAAGAATGCAGGAGGGGGGCAGTGGCGGGTAAATTCAGCTTGGGATGGGGGTGTTGGGGGTGTTCCCTGTGCACAGAAAGCAATGTGTTCCCTGTGCACAAAGAACATTGCTCGCGCCGAGTCAGTAGAATTGGCGCGGGTTTTTGGTAATTTTTCCAAGTGGCGCAATTCTACTCGCATCTCTATTTGCGCAAATGAGTAAATCTATCTCCATCCGGTCGGCTGCTTGGAGATAGATTTACACAAAATGGTAAAATTTTTAGAGATACTCACTCCACTAGGTCTCCAAGGTAAATAGTCAGTTTCAAAGCAGTTGATTGGAACTGTCTCAAGTGCCAAGCCAAAAAGGAAGTGTGAAATAGCGCAGAAATAATCTAAATGTCTGTACACACGCAAAAATATATGATTGGAGATCGGGTGAATACGCAAACACCCTTTCATTTGTAAATTTGTTTATGAGTACCCAAACCAACGCTCTATACGTATTTGAGGCCCCCCGAACAGCCACAGCCATTTCCATGGCTGGAAGTCATCACATGAGGGGGTCATTGTGCGAAATTGAACATCCATGCGCTGATGACGCCTTTGTCGATAGCGTTCTTGCCCCATTTTTCTCTTTTCCCCTTGCTGCTCGCCGATAGCATATTGACGATTCTTCATCCTTCTGAAGGCTTGCACATCTTCCGCTCGTAGCGGGTTCCAACGCACATGCATGTTTGTGAGCCCAACACACATTTGGAAGAACTTGTCATAATTCTTCTCACTCCATCGAAATTTCGAAGCCACTACAGTCCAGAGGCCGCACATGCGCCCAAAGAAATTCTTCACAATGATCCGATCCCCTGCGACCTTTCGGTTAAAAATCTCGTCCTCTGCTGCAAGAGCTCCGTTTCGAGGTTTCTTTTGCGGGGTAGTAGTTCGTAGAAATTAACCTCCACCTTGATAGCCTTTGTCAGCAAGCACAGCCCACTGGTCCGGATATTTGTCGACCAGCAAGCCAATATCGTTTACAACGTTATCCTCTCCACTGTTCGTCAACGCAACCTTATGAAAATTTATCATGTCGTGGTAGATGTCGATATCGGATACAGACCCCGGGTAATGGCTAGTGCAACCAACGGCAATTCCAATCGGGAGCACAGAGACTTCGACCTTATAGCTATAGAGCTTATGTTTTCCACTGAAGTACTTTTTGCCTTCTTGCATGACACCCGTCGGCCTGTTAGCCTGCTGAAATGTGACGTCCGTTGCGTAGCGAGCATACGGGAAACTCTTAAACGTTCGGCGATTGTCTATTACTCTTCCCATTCCCCAGCGCCTGCCGAAAGACGTAACATATCGGTTGTAAATCTCCTCGGAAACGATGTCCATATAACCCATGATGAGACGTTCAAACGTCGGCCCCTTGATGTCGAACATTTTCCCCAGGAAGTCCCATTGGCCTCCATGTTTTACCACTACCAATAGCATGAACATGACGTCTTTCGCCTTGTATGCCGACTTCCTCCCTCTCCCTGTGTTCCAAATTTGGAGAATGTGATCTTTAAAATGGCCCCAAATTGTCTGATACTGAGCTGCATTGAAGTTGGTAGGCTGAAGAATGGTCGCTGATCCGCCGTTACTGTAAAAGGTATCAAAAATTGGGGAGTCGGAGTCAGAATCTTCGTCAGAGTCGGGACGGTCCTGCTCCGAGCCGTAGTCTTCCAGCTCTTGTTGGCGAGTTAATGCGGCATCTGCCAAAAGTTGCAAGGCTGTGGCGGCTTGGCCGTTACTGATGACCATTTTGAGGACGGCCGAAGCGCTGGGGGATGCTGAATGTGGCTTCTCGGAGATGGAGGTGTCGCAGTCGCAAATGTCTATGTACACTGCAGTTGTTCTGTGCAAAGATTTGCACCGATTTGAGAAGACCGCTCATTTATGAATGACATTGCTGTAACTGAACTCATGCTGTCATCTCTTGAAAAGATCGACCAAATGCGCCAATAATTGATTTTACTAGTTTACACATTCACATTTTTTGGCCGGATGGATTTGGGGAAATACTTAGCTTTTTGCCAATGCAAGGGGTCTATTTGGTAACGATTCTCTAACCACGTTGAAAGCGATAAACTGACAAAAGGTACTACTAGTGTCTAGGTGACAAATGACCTCATATGAGGTCACTTTTCAACTTTTTTTTTCTGTACTTGCGCTAGCTCAACAAGATGGAAAAAGATACTCTCGCCACCGCAGTTGACTTCTGCGTTGCGGAAGGGCGGGGTTTGGTGAGACCTGCACGTCTTTTCCAGCCATTTTTGAAATGCCCGAAAAAGGAGCCTTTTTGACCAACCTCAACACGTTTTATGTTGATTTCTTCGAAACCAAAACGCCTGTTCAAAAAGCCAACTCATCATTGAAACTTCATTAGAATCTTAGTCTCTCTCTGCATTGGAAACTATCATCCCAACGTTTGCCAAGATGTTAATGCCGAGGGCAAATACGTTAAAGAAATAGTGTCCAAACTGACTTTTAAAGTTTCGATTTAATTTATATATTTTTTGCAAAAAAACCGGCCTCATATGAGGTCAAATTGCTTGTCGTCTAGAAACTAGAGCTGGTCGTGACCAAATCTATCTCCAAAAATCAAACATTTACTCATTTACTCAGCCACTAGGGGTGCTCCTCATATCTGTTTTTCACGGACACAACATGTACACATGACAAGAGCCCCATCTTCGTCGACAACCTGATAACGAGCCTCTGATCAGCTGCCCTATTACTGCAGTTATTAGAGGTCCGTTAAAATAAGTGAGTACTGGGCGACTCCGAAAAACATAAATTGTGTACACACACATTTGTTTGTGTATGTGTGTCGAATTTTATGCCTTGGCACGGAAATGCATGTGACAAAAATTTGTGTAAGACACATTTAATGCCAATTCACCCTCAGTGAGGTGGCAGCACGCCGGCGGACGTATTGCGATACCCCCTTCACGCCCTATCCTATGATACCCAAATGAGAAATCTCCTCGTTGTTTTGCTGTTGCAACGCGCAAAAAGGCAACGCACCATCACTTTTCGTCAGCGCCTCAACACGGAAGGGCGAAGACCACGAGACAGGCGGGTAACAAGGAGTTCATTGCAACACCCCTCTACATCTCCATTTTCCATTGTGTTTGGTTCAGGATGTGACCAATCCCTTATCACACTTTGCGGGTTCGATCATGCTTCTTTTCGCTACCTCCTCCCCTGTTTGAACCCCTTTATCTCCGTTTCACACCCTACAGCTCCGACGGATTTATTCGCATCATCACGCGACGGCGCACGCGAAGGGTAAGACCTCGGTCGCTAGCGGCTGTCCACTGCTTAGCTCTCACACTTTGCTGGTACAGGACAAGGGGTTCTAGTATGGTCTTGCCAATGCTATTAGGCATAACTGCTTCTGCTTGATCTATATTGTTACGATTCGGTCGCCGCTTGTTGAGGCGCATCCTCAACTCTGATCATAAAGCTCGCATTAAAATGCCCACAGTGCAAGAGATTAGGCATTACAAAGAAGCCATTTCCGCAAAGTACTCTCTTCTTCGAGATATGTACGCCATGGCGGATGGACTGAAGCTTTATCTACAGGAGAGCGGGAACGGTGTAATTCAGAACATGTTTTACAATGGGCAACATGATCACTAGGTCGGAAACGTACTTGTTTTTGTGCCTTCCGGCGTAGTGATCGCGTCAGCGTACAATGCTCCCTGGTGTCTCCGTGACTCGGTAATTGCCGAATGGGGCAATGTATATCGGAAACTTGAGGAAACATTTGAAAATCATGGTGCGACGTGCGTTGTAGATTCTGCGTTTAGTAAGAGAGACTACCCTTTTCTTCTCAAATCTGCGCAAGATATGCCAATGAGCGGTGACCGAAATGTTCATCAGAAGGCGCATCAAGCGACATCCGTCAGGCAAGCATCAGAGTGGGGAATGAGAGCCTTTCAAGGCTCTTTTCCGAGATTGAAAGATCGTTTTTCTATGAGGAGCGAGGCAAGAGGAAAATCATACTCCATCTCCCCATTTTTCTCTTCAATTTGAGAACCCAGTTGGTTGGCATCAATCAGATACTCAATACCTACATGCCATATCTGGGCGTCGATGCGAACCATTTGCTGTTTCGAAACGTATGAGAGGCCACCACTCGCCCCTACATATTTCGCCAGCAATGAGCGGCACGCGAGCAGCGCGACTGGCTTGGCAGAGAGGTGGCTGGCGCGTTCGATGGTGGACTGCACGGTGGAGTGACGGGCCAAGTGAGCGGGGCAGCGATGGGTCACTAGGGGGTAGACTTGCAGCGGGCCGGAGACGGGGACCGGGGGTTTGATGTGGGTAGTATGCGGGGGCGTGCGCACAAGGACCCACAGGCACTTGTACAGGGGCGGGGTGGCGTGCGCGGGGCGGTGTGTGCTG